TAATGTCTCTCCTATCATCATAACAATCTCTCTTCACTTGAAACTCCTCACTCTGTCTATGTCCCCCTCCTCCTCCTCCCTCTGTCCTCCTCCTCCATCCTTCTCTGTCCTGTCACTCCTCCTCTGTCTGCTCACTTCTTCCCACATCTCTCTCTCCTTTGCTCCGCAAGCCATCACCGCTGCTTCATCACATTGTCTCTAAAAAAGTAGGATTCAGTCAATTACGAACAAAAATAAACACATGAATATCAACCTCTCAGAGTCATTTTTTGTTTTTTTGCTTTTTACAATTTCCAGCTGTTTTGAGAATGTGTCTGTGATTTTTCTTTCGTTTTTTTGGAAATATCGGTGTCTCCGTGCTGGGAACAGATGCTGCAATCAGCCGACACCTTCGGCTCTCGTTGCTTGCTTTGCTGACCTATAACCCTACAAATCTGTGAGCAATATAACCCTTCTGGCCCCCGCCAATATTCAGAACAAGCATCAATGTAGGAGCGGGTAACCACAGCAGGCTCTCTATCCACCTTCTGTGGGCTCCCCCTGCTGGTGATGCGCACTAATGACACCCCCCTGCCTCTTCACTTCCTGTAAGAGAGAACAAACAAATGAGCAGCAAGCCAGCACATGTACAGAGTGTCCCTGTTATGGAGAAGAAATGTGGGCAGTAGTAAAGAGAACAACTGTGGAGGTGCACTTTTATTGGGGGGAGGACTTTCAGTGGGGGTGGGGGTGCACATTTAGTGGGGGACAGAGCAGACTTTCAGTGGGGGGGGGGGCTGCACTTTCACTGGGGGCAGGGTGGACTTAGTGGGGGGGGGTGGTGAGTGGAATTTCAGTAGGGGTGGGGGTGCACTCCATTGCTGCTGAGGAGAATGGGCCTTCCCTTTGTTTAAAGCTTTTCTAACGCACAGCAGTCTTTGACGGATTCCACTGATCACTGACGTGTGTCACTCTGTGCTGTGACTCTGAGGTGTGACTTGAAGGTGTGACTATAGGTGTGACTTGGTGCTGTGACTCAGAGGTGTGACTCGGTGCTGTGGACTGAACAATCATCCTTCGGGACCCAGACAGAGCTGGGACCATTGCGGTAGGCTTGGATCAAACTGGGGAATGCTCTGCAGGTCGCTGGTGCTGCCTCCATCTGGCCGAGTTGTGAGTGACACTCGTTTGCACACAAGGTCTGCCACAGCCTAGGGGTGCACAAACACAATATCCCAATATGACGACCTTAACCTCTAGACAGCCCTAACCTTAACCATAAGTAACCAAACGAAATACAAGACTTGAGGCATTTTTAGTGTTTTGAATGCAGTGACATAGTTTGTGGGGACCTCACAACATCAAAATAACAGGTGTTTATTACATTGTGGGGTGCATCTCATCCCCACAATGTAATATAAGCATATTACACACACACACACACACACACAACAATGAATCATAAGAATAAATCTGAGCTGTGCTACTGATACATGCTGTTTTTTATAAATCTCCATCCACAATGGGAGTTTAAATACTATACTCATATAACTATTTTAATAGTGACATATATCTTATTTTCTGGCTTTGTACCTTGTGATGTCACGCACAAGCTCCACATAACCCTGACGAGGACAGGCAGTTAGAGGATGGATGAGTGGATGGATGGATGGATAGATGGATGGATGGATGGATATATCTTATGTACATGTTATCTATATGTGGCACTTACATTGATATATCTGTGAGTTGTTGATGCTCTTGCATCTTCATATTGTTATATTTATTATTTTATTTGGTTATTTTTCTGTTATTTTTAAAAATTAGCAATTTAGCCATTGAATTCCATTGACTTTTGGTTAAAAAATACAAATTCAAGCCATCAGTGTAGCACTGCAGCTCATGGATACAGGCCGACTCCGGGTCCAAATCCGGTTCCCAAATGTCCGTAGCTGGGGAGCCCACTGTACCGCTGCCAGAGCCTCACATAGTCCATGAACTCTGCAGCCGGATGTGCTTCCGTGGGAAATGCCACCCCAGGCTTTGCAGAATACCCCATAACCTTAGTTTACTTTGGATATTATCCTGTGATCTGCTATGTCCTGACAGATGCTTGTGTGACCCCAATTTGCACGAAATAAACACTAAATCAACAGGACAATACATCTTCCTACGTTCCAGGACCACCAAAGCCATCACTGCTAGAAACAATCACTGAGGTTCTTTAGCTTGTTCTTCAGATCAAGAATTAAGGAAGACAATCCGTCATCCACACCCTCTGCATCCTAAGGCCTTTGCTCTTTGAACAGGATCAGGTGTGATGAGTTTTTTTGATGATTAAATTAGTTAGTCTGCTGTTCACAAAAGCTCAAGGTGAAAGGTCAGTGGTAAAACCAGATTCTTTAGCACTAAAAGTCATATTCAAACTGCAGGATCTTTTGTACCAGGACTTTGGCTGGATCTACTGGATCACCAGCAAGACCGGAACTGGAACTGTGGGATACTTTTTGTACCAAGAACTCAGCTGGATCTACTGGATCATCACTCAGACCAGAACTGCAACTGTGGGATCTTTTGTATCAGAGATCTGGCTAGAATTACAGCATCTCTGACCTGTGTAACGCCCCCTGCTGCTCATTCCACCATTTACTGCCAGATGTTTTCTGCACAAACATCTGTAAATAGGGATGAAGCGGAAGCTCCTGGATTTCTCCAAACTATCTCGCCTCTGGACCTGCCTTGGAGCTGGACCCTGGGATGGACACTGTCTGTCCCACCTCTGCTGTGCTCAGCTTCAGAGTAACCTCATAGTACACCTGGGTGTCTGCGGAAGAAAAAGAGACAAACCAGCAGCCCCAAGCTTCTCTAAAGCTTTACTGCTCCCAGTTTTTCAAAATGAATGTAAGAAAGGGTGGGAGGAAGAAGCAAAAATGGCATCTTGCTTCAGCAAAATCGTGCAGAGATTTACTCAGTCCTTCAAGGAGATCCCAACCCTCTGAGTCTGCCTAACACGGAACCCCTCTTATAGCAGTAATAACTTATAGCTTAAGCATGTTAATGACCACAGTGGGCCTTTGGCTGTTGTACCTGGGAGTAGATATCCTGAATTACTTTAGTAATTACTTTAATAAAATGTGCTCAGTGTATAAATCAGTAATTCACATCCTGGGATAAGCCCCCTGGTGAACCAGGATAAGATGAATGTTAGAAGATATAAGGATGGAATATTAGGCATAAAGTACTGATGAGTAACAAGACAGTCTTGGCGAAGGAAATTTTAGTATATAGCCTTAGTATTCACACATATAAGACTCCAGGCAAAGAGATCCAATACCACAAAATTTGTACCATTGTTTCCACCTGCTGGACATCAGAGTCATTGCACCATCCAGCATTATGTAACAATAAAACAACAGGGTGCACAATGCGAAGTTCCACAGACATTACAGTCAGCTATGAAGAACATAGCTGAAGGAGTCTGGGGCTCCAGTGCACAAAAACATCCAGAAAGATCTGGGTTCTTAGTGGGAAAACACAGTAGTGCTTAATGTGGGTCGTATGACCAGCAGATGCGTGGGTCTGCAGGATGCCGTAGGGATGTGGATGTGCCACACTGTCCTCGAGACCCATGTCCTGCCTGTTCACTTGGTTTATCTCTGCTTGCTCACCAGGGGGCACTGTTCCCCACATTCCCAAAGACTCAAATCCTCCATTGACTTCTGGCTCCATCGCTTATTGCTTCCAAGCCTTCTGTCCTGCCTTGGTGATCTTCCTGCACAACAACCCCTGTGTCTCATCAGCACAGAGTAATTCTGGCAGGTCTGTGTTGATCTTATATGGCGAAGTGTCTTTGTGTGTTTGGGTTGCACCCGACGAGCAGTGAAGCTGGGGGAGGGATGGCATGATGAGATTCCTAGGTCTCTTAATGCTCGGTTCATCTTTTTCGACTGAACTGGGTGCATTTATGACTTGCATCAGTCACAACCACTGCCTGCCTGTACACCACTTCCAAACAGGCAAGTGTACAGTGATCACTCTGAGTACGTCCATGTTTGGAATAAGACGCCTGGAAGCCTCTTGACTTTGAATGTGATCCATCCCTCCCTGCCTGTTCTAGAGCTGCAGTCTTTATACCATCCAAGTCAAAATAGTTCCCGGGAGAGTAATGTAAGATTTGGCTCCGAAATCACCTGCGATGTGGCCTGTGTGAGCTGGCGGGACACGACGCAGAAGCGCTGCAAACCTCGTGAAGTTCGCGTTTGAGGCAGGTGACGGATCTCGGTCCCGTCGGCGCTCGGATACCGGGAAGCTTTGCTTAAAATCCCAGTAAAGCATGGCAAATACCCATATTATCCAGTTCGCAACAAAAAGACACGAGCTTTGCTGTTCACCGTTACTTATTAAAAGTTGCGAATAGAGCAATCACTAGAATGTGTCTTGTAAATCATAGTGTCAGTTGTGGAAAAATAACTGAATTAGATGAAAACCATCTTACTATATTTATGAGTCATACCGGTTCCGTGAATTCTTCTAATTCTGCATGTTGGTGGACTCGATCCTTCGGATTAGCTGTCTATGAACATTAAGGTCGGAAACGCCCATCTAGTTTTGTAACTATGTGAAGTTTCATTTTAGGTTTATTCTTGCCTGTTTCATTTTAGGTTTATTCTGAGGTGGGGGGGGACCGTTGCCTGTTTCTGAGCCTCCCCATCTCCGACAAAGTGCTCAGCCAGAGTGTAGCTATTTTGGGTCATTTTATAGAGAGAGTGTGTGAAGTTATGAAATAGCCCTAAAATAGTGACTGACCAATCAAACACTAAACGATGGATGAATCAATTGATCAGTCCAGAGTCTATTAATGTATTATTTAGCTTTCATCTCTTCTGTTTGTTATCTGGGAAACACTGACTGACTGGCATCACAAATTCACTCAGGAGTGACCTTTCCCTCTCAGTGCCCAGGAGGTCAAGCAGGTGACATGCCCTGTAAGTGACATGGGGAAAAGACAGCAAACCCAGCAATGTATTCAACCAGTATCCACAGAAATATTTATTAGTTATTATTGATTAGTTTGTGTCTACATCAAACTGGCAACACCATGATACATACTGATTTTATAAAGTGTCATGTTGTGCTTATTTATCCCATAGACACTCTAATGCTTAACACTGAACCCCTAATACCTGCATGGGGCATAATGAGGAGACCCAGGGACTGTGGGCGTATTCTCACCAGCGAATAATGCTGGATAAGGAATGTCACATTCTGTAGACTTACTTACTGTAGACTAATAGACACATTTTAACTGAATTCAAAATCGCTCCAAGCAGACCATCATTACCTTTGCTCTACAATAACACCACACAAACAACCATTCACACATGCTATAAACCCATTGAGTACACTTACATTTAATAGTTTGTGTTTAGACAGTATAAAAGTTTTATTTTTTAAAAATAAATGACCCTTGAATTTATTACTCTATTCACATCACAGTGTCATACATCACAGATTCAGAAATGTCACATGGGGGGAAAAAACCAGTAAGATGAAATAAAAAATTGAAATGGAAAAATATACACCAGGTCTCTCAAGTCATTTCCTGCATATTTCATCTGTATTTCCTGTATCTGTATTAACAGGCTAAATGCTTGAAAATTCTGTTGTCTCCTGTAATACAGATGATGCGGTTCCGTATAAGAAATAGTTTGTCATATCTTTCGTCAATCATCTGAAGACAGAGGGTTTAGTGGAATGTTGGCGAGTCGTTTTCTTAAGGCTGGAGGATGAGTGGGGGGCTCGGACTGTCATATCTCCTCTCACTTCTCCATCTTCTCCTGTGGGTAATGAAGTTGTAAGTGACTGCTACACTCGTTTACAGTCTGTGCTGACTATAGAGCACTTTTTAGGTTCCTTGTGGGGTGACCGTACTACAAGTTCCGCATATCTTAATGAAAACTTACTTCCTGGCTACCTGCACCAATAAAGTGTTTTACTGATACAGCATCTTTGAAAAGAATTATTGTGTTACTACAATATGGTGTGAACTGTTTCCTGAAATCAGTGTTTCAGGGGACAGCGGACAGTAGATAGACTTACTGCAGGAAAAACACCACCGTCGTGGCCAGCAGTGATGCCACATCTGCACATATCCATATGGCTCTATAGGTAGAAGGTGCCTGAAAACAGATACAGACGCAAAGTTTAATGGGATGGCTCAATATCTGCATACTAAACACAATGGACACACTAACCGATGACCAGATCTGCTTAAAGGCTTTTTTATGATGTAGCTTCGGCCCACAGCCCCAGGTTCTCACCAAGTGCCAGACGGGCTTCTCCATGTCCTTCAGAAGGTGGCAGGCATTGGTGGTGACAGAGTGGGCCCCAGCACACCACATCAGGGAGAAGAGCCAGGGCTCATTCACCACCCACAGGTTCACAGACACATTCTTCTGCAGTTTACTGGTGAGAGGATGAATATCATAGGGATGTGGTCAAAAAGCACATCGTACAAGGGCTACGCACTGCAGCTATCACCCCCAGGCACAGGCAGCCGGAGCTTATTCACTGACAGTCGATGCAGCCAGCAGGGGGCATGGTAGTTAGCGTTTGGATTAAGTATCTAGCTGCATAAATGGCTAAACTGTACATCACTTAGGATACGTGGATCAGTTAATACAATAAGAGTAATGACTGTCCACACTGCATGGAGCTATCCCAAGCTAATGAACTAACAGTTCTGACTGTCCACACTGCATGGAGCTATCCCAAGCTAATGAACTAACAGTTCTGACTGTCCACACTGTGTGGAGCCATCACAAACTATCAAATACAGTACCAGTCAAAATTTTGGACACACCCACCCACAGAAAGGTTTATTTATAGTATTCTCTACATTACAGAATAATTTTAAAGACATCAAAACTATAAGGTAACATATTTGCAATTATGCGACACTATCAGTCTCCTTTGTAGGCAGCTTGGTGTGTCCAACTTTTGACTGGTCCTGTAGGTGCTGGTATTGTCATTAATGCTCTCTTCCACTTCTACCTTTTTACTCTGGCTATTCAAAATCAAATCATGTGATACAAGGAAAATAAAATATGGTTCCCAGCATTCATTACGTGATCCTTCAGTCTCCTCAGAAGACTGTGAATGATGATGACACTTGGACCATTACGCATACAGATCAGATTAAGTAGCTCAATCAAAGGTAAAGCTGCCATGGATAGCAGACATGTGCATCTGCTTTGTGGCCCCGCTGCCCATCTTCAGCACCTACCTGATCTCCTGGGTGGGAATCATGTTATAATTGGAGTTAAGCTGGTTTCCGCCCTGGAGATACATTTCCGTCTTGTTGTCATAGACGTGTCTGAACCCTGGGGCTTTTGTCATCACTCTCTTCCTGTGGAGGTTGGGCAGCCATAGCACCTACAGTAGGAGATCAGCACAAGAGCACCAGCTCACCTACTGGCCTTCTAAGTGGGCTGGGGACACTGCGATCCCCAAAAATCAGCACTGTCACGAAGAATGAGGTATGGTCACTAAGGAGTCTGGGACAGTCTCTAATGGCGCTTTTCCACTGCCAGCAAGAACCGTATCACGAACTGGCACTCTCCCATTGTAAATTATGCAAGCTCGTACCCGCGCTGACATGACCCTGCTTACTAGCAGCGCTGAAAACGTGACCAAACCGAGCTGGCTGCACCACTGCCAACTGATTGGTCAAAATGCACAGAGATACTGTATCAGTGTTCTGAGTCAATATGCGTGTATTATTTGAAGGAAAAAATATATATTCCATACAGCAATTATTAGTAGTATCACACATTGATGCATTCCTGATAACTCAGAACTTGAAAACTAGTGTAACTAGTCTCTGTTTGTGGTATGGGTCGAGTACAGCTCAGTTTCTGTATGCGGTACGGATGGCATGAATGAGGTACAGACAGTCATTAAGAGTAAGGTACAGACAGTCAGTTTCTGACAGTCATTCAGAATGAGCTACAGAGGACATGAACAAGGTACAGGCACAGTCCCTAAAAGACAGGTACAGTTGGAGTGTCTGTTGTATTCACTGAGAATGAGGTACAAAGACACTAAGAGTCAGGTACAGCCAGTGAGAGACCCAGTCACTGAGAATGAGGTACAGACAGCATGAATGAGGTACAGACAGCGTGAATGAGGTACAGACAGCACGAGGGTAGCTGAAAACTAGCTCACCAGCTCAGGAGGGATGCCGGACTTCAAGATGGTGTCAATCACATAGTCTGTGTCATTGCTGTCATTTGTGTCCTTCTTCAAGTCAAACATTACAGAGATATTTTTCTGCTTAGCCAGCCCCAGGAGATCAAAGAGGCGTGGAATATATTGATTCTTTGCGTCCGCCTTCTCTTCCTCTGAGAGCGATGAAACCGTGTGGAATGGATCATTCTGGAAAAAGAGCCACAGACAGAAATGTGCTGTAGGACTTGGACAGTAGAGCTTTGCTGAAAACTACAAAGCAGAGCAGCAGCTCTCACGGTGTTAAAAGCTGCACCATTATGTTGTCTGGGAGATAGGAGCTGCTTTCACGTAGTGAGAAGGAACTCAGGCATTATACCAACTCAGAGCAGGTCATGACAGAACTGACCTTCAGGAACCAGCTTCCCGCGTTCAGTCTCTCTAACTGCTGCCAGGTGAAGCTGCTGCTGTTGTTATCAGCCTGATGCTCCTGAACGTCAGTTGTTCTACGGAGGCTTTCATCATGCATAAGGAAGGGAACTCCATCCTTGCTGGTCTCATCAGCATGTTGGCACGTGCATAGGAGGTACAGCAATGTCAGTTAGCCAAATGACCTGCTGGTTCCTGTGTCTGTTCTCCTCCTACATTGCCTGGTCTTTGGCTGGATACCCATGTTTCTCCTCATGGACCTACCTGATCTGAACATCGGTCTCGAAGGCGTACACACCACACTCTGCACTCTTGTTGAACGACATCATTGTGTTCTCCGGGGCGAGCTAATGTGAAACACATTGATCGAGGACCGTTGATGACAACGACACAAATGAGGCAGATCAAAGAGGAAAAAGAACAAAATCAAACAGACTGGGAATCAACGTCATTAATCAATTAATTAATACTGAAAATGATCCCAATAATCAAGATTTGATTAAAAAAAAAATTGATTCATATAAGTAGACAGAACTGGGAGATCTTTCTCACCATTGGTGCCCCTCTGTGGCCAATGAGCTTTGGTTTTTCAGGGAGATGTTCACAGAGGCATGGAGACTCAATCAAAAGTGGGGAGAGGAAGACTGCAGCCGACAGCAGCGTGAACGTGCCCATGATGACGGCCTTGGAAGCTGCATGTGGGTAATCAGGTGTGTGAGGAAGCTGTACAGAAACCACACACCAGCACGCGGCAGGTAGCCTCATGGAATCAGGACTTCACAAGCCTGTGTGTTCTCATTTTCACACTGGTTTCCTCTAGATACTCTGGTTTCCTCCCACAGTCTAGAAAACATGCTCTTAATATGTGATTGCTTGTGTTCGGCTTCCACTCTATAAAGACCTGGCTTCACCCGCTTCCTGCCCCGTGTTTCTAGGGCTATGATTCTGGCTCACCGTGACACTAATCTGGACGGTGGATGAAATAACAACAGCGATGGCCTTCTGTAGAAGGTGGCTTTCTTGAGGTTTTAAAGTAGAACATTCCCACTGGCATCTTACTGAAAGCATGTCACTGGTTTGGAGTAGTGTGTGCGTCGTGCATAGACCTCCCGGCTGCTAGGGGGCACTGTATACTGGGGGAGCATGTCAGGAGCCTGTCCCTTCACTAACCTTTGCTCTGGGTTTTGTGGTAGCTGCGGAAAACTAATCCACTCAGCAGCGTGAGGGCCAGTACACCGCCAAGCTGGAGAAAGGGACCTGTGGCCTGTGTGAGATGGGGATAGAGGACACAGGGAAGGCTCAGTGGAACAAACACAACCACAGGCGCATATGTACATGTGTGATGCTCAATTGCGCCACCTACCTGCAGAGACAGGGACACAGTCTGCCACTCCACCTTCCACTTAATGGTGATACCCAAAAGCCCAGCAGTGATGAATAACGCCGACAAAACCAGCAGCACCTGCACTCCAGCAGAAAGGAAGATTCAAACACAGCTTTCAAAGCGCAGAGAGCAGCAGCAGGAGGAAATGTGACAACAGGGCCGGGCACAAGGGTAAGTCAGGCAAGCAGACAGAAGAAAAATCATTCACTTATAAAAAAATAATTTTTCTGGAACAAATAGATGTACCTTATGAATAACGTGAAGGTGGTTTAAGGGCTCCCTCAGGGCCACAAGGAACAGCGAAAACAGCTGAAAGGTTCATTTAAAAACATTATTTATAAAAAAACACAAAGGCTTGTGTAACTTCACAGCAATAAAAATGGTTTGGTAGCCCAAGGTAGTTGAGCTCCTTCCACTAGGTGGCAGCAATACTGTTCATATAGTTGCTGTCAGTCTGTGGTGCATGCACCCCCCAGCTTCAGGGTCTCACCAGCAGGAGGCAGCAGTACACTGCCAACAGTGAAGAGAAGACCACCACAATCATGAACCAGTTCACCCATTTCTTCAGGCAACTGAAGGCCTTCCTGTTGTGCAGGAGAATAAAGCAACACGGCAAAAAAATAAGAGATACTAGCTTTCAGGGATCATTCACTTCCACAGAACAGCTTTAAAACTGATATACCCTTCAATGACCAGCACAGTACACGGCGCCCTCTGGCAGCTGGGAGGTCTCTACGCAACGCACACACAATCTTTAAAGAGGACATGCCTGGTCTGGGGTGCTAATCAGGGGTTGTAGATTCAACCCCAAAACCACCCCACCGTTGTGAGTGTCACTGTACCCTCCAGCTGGACATAAACGAAAGACCTTTTAAAAGATCAGATCTTCTCAACGGCTTCCAGACGCATGTGTGATCATGTTAAATGCACAACGCCGGTGGGGATAAAGAAGAGGTCAGCAGCAGACAGGGTGCAGGGGCAGCATGTATGGAGGTTTCTCAGCACTCTGCTGTTACAGCGTCATCGTGCTGGCTGTGGACGAGCTCAGAATGACTGTCAAAGGCTTTGATCTGTTTCTTAAACCCTGCAGTGATTGCTTTTTGCTTGCCGTGTGTTTGCTTGGGTGTTCCCACGTAAGATACAAAATCATGTTGGTGTGTTGGTTATTGAGCCACTGATCGGTTATTGACCTTGATCTGTGTGTGTCAGATTCCATTACATTGTAGGGACCAAATGTCTCCACATTGTGATAAAAACCTGTTATTTTGATGTTGTGGGGAAAATTTTTTTGGTCCCAAATAGGGGACCAATTTTATACAAATCTGTGACTGCAATTAAAAAACTATCAATGCAAAAAGTCTTGTATTAAGTTTCATTGCATATGATTAAGGTTAGGGCTGGGTAGGGGTTAAGGTTATCATTGTTGACATTTGTGTTTTGCCCATTGAAATGAATGCACGGTCCCCACAAAGATATGAGTACAGGTGTGTGTGTGTGTGTGTGAACATATATACGGACGAAGCTCACCAGTTGACATCATCGCGATCATTGTATGCCATCATGCAGATGTACAGCCAGCCCAGAGTGAATGCAGACACCAGCGTGAAAATGCAGAGCCATGCATGCTAATAAGAACAGGGGAAAGGTCAGAGGTCAGAGATCTCTGAGGGGGACTGGCTACACACAAGCGGGTCTGTCATATATGTATTTCTGCAGCAATACATATACTTTATGTTCAGGTTTCTACAGAACAAGCCACTAAGGTAACACAAAGGTTATATAAAGAGCCGGGCCTGTTATCAAAGCGCTGTATTCTGAAGCCCGCGGCACAGACAGGCTGCTGTACCCTTGATCGAGCTGTATTAGTGAATTCCTGCCTGGAACACGGCTCCGTAAATCTGACAGGCTTTTTTGTGACCTCCTACATTTAGCTGGGGTTCTCCTTTAAAGGGCAGTTCACCCCTAAACTAAAAGAGTGATGTTTTAGATGGGCTTTAGTGCTTTCTATCCATCTAAGTTGTTATGCTGGCAGTTGCTCAGTTTTGGAGATATTGGTGGTAGAAATGTTGGTCTTCTCTCAAATACAATGGGACTGAATGGCATTCATTCTGGGATGATTTAAGCACCAAAAAATTTGAAAAATTCAACAGTAATGTCTCTGACTAGAAATCATGACCTGGTTACTTGTGATAATCCACAGACTTTATAATGAGCAATTTAATGTAGGAATTATTTTCTGCTACCAAACTCCACACACTAACTGTATCACTGCACAGAAGACGTTGCAGTGGTGCTCCTGAGCCTCTCCTTAACCTTACACCTCCACCTGAGCTTCTCCCCAAGCTCCCACCCTTATGCAGCAAAGACATACGGCTAGCACTCTTTAGAGGCTGCAGACGGAGGGAGCCAGCGTCAAACGGAGCAAGCAGACTGTGACAGGGGACGTCCCCCCCCCCGCTCTGTACAGGCCCCATCCTGCCTAGCTTTGCACAGGCCGAAACCCAGCAGTTTCATCTGAAACAGGCGTAGCTAGTAGAACCTCATCCAATCCTCAAAGCCAATTCAGCACACACCATCCACAGACCCCCCCCCCCCGGAAACCTTCCCAGTTTACTTAACCACTTCTAGTTTATCTGCAAATTCTGATAAGTCCCATGACACAAAGATAGAGCCAATGCCTAGTGTCAGGACCCACCAGCCTGCTGGTTACATGCAGTTTGTTCCTAAACCTTTGGGCTACATTTAGCCTCTGCTGCAAGGCGAGAGGTTGGCAGTATTATTCATGCACATGCAATATTTATGTATTTGTGTCTCCTTTTTCACCTGCTCTTCCCCAGGATACCTACTAAGAACGAGTCACGTGACCAGGAGGCATCTGGTGAGGGTGGGGCAGCTGCCAGAGCCACTTACTTTGCTGCGTTTGTGCTCCCTGGTCCTCCGCCTGCTCCAGTCACAGCTATAGGCACCACGGCAAAAAATGTGCCAGAGACTGGCATTCGATGGTGGGATCACCATGGCTCTGAGGCTGGTCTGAAGAGGCTCTGTCAGAAAAACAAGCAGTTACTCAGCCAGCCAGCCGTCCACCCACCTATCAATCCTGCGCATGTGACAGAGAGACACGGAGTACGTGTTGAGTGACTATTCTTTCCCGTCTTATTTTGTGGTTTTTGTAGAAGTTCTTTGTTGTTGGATGTGTTCCTTTTTGTGTTGCTTATTGTTTTGGCGTCAGAGTTCGCCAGGAAGAGCTTTCGATCCAGCCGCCCTCTGCCTCCGGCATGGGGTGAGAGTCATTGCCAAACCCTTTGTTACCGTGGAGGAGATTCTCCTGGCACTGGCTAAGTGGATTGGTCCCAAACGCCTACGACAGGAGTGTCAAACTCCTGTCCTGGGGGGCCGGGGCCCTGTGTAGCTTAGGTCTTTCCCTGCTCCACCAGAAATGATTCAGCTAATGAGCTGTGTGGTAATTAGCACAAGGAGTTGAATCAGGTGTGTTAAATGAGGGGAAACCAAAAACTGTGCAGGACCCCAGCACCCCAGGACTGGAGTTTGACACCCCTCGTCTACTGTATGCCTTCGTGACTCAGTTGGTGGAGAGTGATGATACTCTTAACGATGCTTTTGTGCATGTCTCCCCTCTGGCTGCCCCCCTCCCCCATTCATTTCTAACAAGACTCTTTCTGGTACTTTAACGATCCAACTCATCCAGAACTTCTTTCCTATCACACAAAGAAAAAGACTTTTAATCTAACAATGGTGACAAGTAGCACAAACCCACAACTTTGTCACCAGCGTGTAGCTTATGCCACAGTACACATGAAAACAGTCATTCATACATTAGAATGTGAGATCAATAACCTAGAAACTAAACTACCAACTACCACTTTAGATGACATTTCCAGACAAGGAATGCTAAAGGAATGAGGAAAAACAAAACTGGCACTCTTCCTACACAAAACAGTTGAAGGTGTTACAGCAGCAAGGCATGGTGCAAATGAGAGGAGGGTGATGACCCACTTACAGCTCCAAGACAAAGGGGTTTATTGAACAAAACAGAACACCAAGCGGTGAAGCACAAAATTAAAAGACCACATGGGGTTGAAATCAAATGGGAGAAATAAGAACCAACTACAAAAATATCAAAAGGTGGTAACTATCAAAACAAAACAGAGCAACAGCACACAGTAATATGAACAATGACAGACTAGTGAACAGACTGGAAAAAGGTTCTTAAGTACATGCAAACAACCAGGCTAATGAGAAGGCTGGTGAAGGAGCATTAGACAATTAGCCAATCATAGAGGGTGCAGGACAACGAGCAACAGATGGAGCAATTAAGACGCACAGGGTCAACAGGCAACGAGTGGAGCAAGTTAGCAAAGATGAGCACAGAACCAAGAGACTAAACAGACAACAAACTAGGATAAATTACCTGACACAGGTTACAAAGCAAAGCTAATCACAGGATCAAAGTGTGTAAAATAAAGACAGACCAGAACACACGGAGGGCAAAGCAAGGGCCGGACAACTAAGACAGAAAATAAACACTAGGGAACAAAATCTAATATTTAAACAAACAGGTGACACTGGAAAGGACTGAACCCACAACCAACTGCTTTGAGCTACAAACTTGGCCCACTGAGCTATGCAGCAATCCAGAAAGCGACCAAAACATAAGGGAAGAAAGTGATAGGGAGGAGGACAGGATGGCCAGTAACACCTGCTGGCCCAAATGGGAGGGGGCAGGAAGGGACAGGCACTGAACCTGACAGAAGGATCCAGAATCATGGTTATCAAGACATGGACGCTCCCGCCGACGACGACTTCAACCTGGAGAGGACTGTGTTGCAGAAGAAGCTGATGACCTTCCCGGTGACACTGTAACTGGCAGTGGAATACTGCACTGCCCTTTACCGAAAGGAGGATTATGAATGTGAGCCACTGCTGAACTTCATCATGGACTACCGCAGCTGGGACAGGAGGAGTGTGCGGCCCTGGACCCGCAGATCAGCCTGGAGGGACTTACCACTGCTGTAGGACAGCTTGCATATGGATGGGCTTCCTGCAGAGTTGAATAAGCATTTCTGGAGCTTGCTGGGATTGGATCAGTGGGCAGTGCTGCCCAATAAGGTGACTCGGTGCACCTTAAGACCAGGAGCCCTATAGCTCATCAGTACGCAGTGCACCTTAAGACCAGGAGCCCTATAGCTCATCAGTACGCAGTGCACCTTAAGACCAGAAGCCCTATAGCTCATCAGTACGCAGTGCACCTTGCAGTGCACCTCGCACTGCTGATTTACACGGCCTAGACCTACCGCTTAAGAGCATTTGGCATTTATGAAGATGAGTTACCAATGACACCCGGGTCATCTCTGCTGAGCCCTGAGAGATGGGCTTTTCCATTCAGGGTACCTTCCAGTGCATTGCAATTGAATAGCCAGGGCCAGTCAATCCTATAGATGACATGACTAGGACACCAACTTACAAGAGGCACCAGCTTGCCAGGAAATTTCACTTTGTCTCAGACAGGGGGCGCCAGCGGTGATGCTTGTAAGGGTGCCACATCGGCTAGGACCGGTATTGGAAGTAGCTCCATTTCAAATTTCATTGTCACATACAAACATACATCATACATCCATGTAATTAAATGCCTCTACCTTAACTGTTTAGGGTTTCTTTGATTGACTTTATCCATCACAACGTTACCAAGACTGCGAAGTCGAAGAGGATGAAATTTGGTGTCAAACCATTATACTGTAATTGCTTTTGAGAAGCTGATCCCAGTTTTTAGCAACTTAGTTTCACACTTGTTTAGCCCTTATTCATATCAACATGAAAACCTCTTCCTAATTACATAATTAAACAAAATGCCCAGCCATCATTGCTCACTGCTCTGTCATAAACACGGCTCTCAGAGTTAAGAGATTACTGGGTTAGTGATTTAGACCAGTGTTTCCTAATCCAGGCCACGGGGACCCCAGACAGTCCACGTTTCTGTTCCCTCCCAGCTCCCTTCCAGACAGTCCATGTTGTTGCTCCCTCCCAGCTCCTGGTAAGAGCAAAAACATTTGACACCCCTGCTTTAGACAATTAAATGCAGGTGAATTAGAGCCTCTCCCCCCCCCCCCAAGTAGGCCACGCTCAAAAACTCTCTTATTCACAGGGAATGACGTAATTGATATGCGAGAACATATGCACGGTATAAAGGGTCATTTTCTGTCATAAGATTGCAAGTGCTTTCTTATTTAAATGCGTACTAATCATGTAAATCCCTGCTTATACACACCTCACTGCATTTTAGAATAGAAACCCCCACCCCACCACCCCCCATACCAGTGGGAAACAAGATCAACAGATGTTCTAGAGACAGACTGATGGATTCAACGGAGCGTCCAGGTCTGAAAATCACATGTACACCTGCAAAAAAGTTGCTTGTCAGAAGACAGTCGCGGAGCAGCACCGTGGTTTATCGTCCAGATCAGAGGGTCTGGCTTTCCACCCAGGACAGATAACTCCGCCTCCTCTGCAAGTCCATGGTTCCTCAGTCTGTTCAAGGTACTCCACCACATTGACCCAGTCACCTACCGCCTTCCATTACCATCCCACTAAGGCGTCTCTCCTACATTCCCAGTCTCTCTGCTAAAGCTTGTCCATTACAGCCTGATACATTCACCAGTACCTCAGACTGAAACTCCTCTGCCATTGTACCTCCTAAGGCTACACCGTAGAAATGCTCCTACATTTCCATTGATAGCTCCCAAACTGGGCCGATTGGGAGGGCTACAGGCCCGAGAAAGGGTCCTAGGTCCCAAAAGGGGACATCTCAAGTCTATTACTCATCGCCAACTCCGGCTTGGAAATCCAGCTTGAACCAGCGACTCAACCCTGATCCTCAAAGTCTGAAACCAGTCACATACGTACCACTCTCACCAGAGTGCTTAGTGAGTTTTCTCCATGCTGAGCATGAAGGACCGTCCAATATCTTACTGTGCTGTGATCCCTTCCCTGATCTTCTTGTTCCTGCTCTTGTATTGTGACTTGGATTCTACTTGTCCTGATTTGCTCTTCACTTATTGCCTGTTTTCCCGGTTATGATTTAGGATTATGTTTTGGTTTCGATTGCCTTACTGTAACTGGACTTTCTATAATCCATTCATTATTTATGCATTTCTTCCTTCTTCTGTCATTTCTTCCCCTTTGTTTGTGCAATATTTCTGACTTTTTTTTGCAGGTGCATATGTTGTCACACCGGACACACCTGTCTTTTAAATTCGCCTTTGAAGATCCAAGAGCATATGATTCATACTGAGCGTATCGCTGCACTCCCTGAGAAAATATTACCTTACATATAAACTCTGGGAGACGCCAACTCTCATTAGCAGACATCAATGCACTAGAGGAAGAGGAGTGACCCAGGCGGTTTACGGCCCTGCTGGGGATGTGAAGCTCCACAAATTCGGTGAACTTACGGCACTTGAGGAACAGAAAACTGAAGCAATCGTATTTAAAACTAGCAGGCTGGATTGCTGTTAAGGCTAACTGGGTAAAGGCACAAAACTAGAGACAACGAGAGTTATGCCATACGGGTAAATATACTGAAATAGTAACCTGGGGCATATCTTAAGTAATCTAACAGCATTACTGTAAGAAGTGGCCATTAATCCAGTAAATCGAAGTGACAAAGCAGAGGAATGCAGCAAACCGAGGCCATGAAGCAGCGCTTCGTACGAGGACCCATGCAGATGTCCTGCGGTCATGAACACACCTCTGTTGTGTGCCTGTTTCCCAACATCACGGACTACATGCATCCATCTACTCATGTCCGGGTTTTGTCCCAGAAAGGCGGACGTCAGTCATATTGGACGTACCTCGGTCATTATATGGGAGAAGTCAAATATACTGTATAATATAAATTACAAAGTCAAACATATTTAACTGAACCTCTACAGTGGCAGAACAATCGGTTTGTTTTGCTTCTTGCCGCATGCCGCGCAAGTGGCAAAATACGTCCATTAAAGTTCACTGCGTCTGCTTTGGACGTCTCTTGATAATTTTTCTTAAGGCTCTTATGGGACGTAAGTGCGATGGGATGTTACTCGACAGGGCATCAGTCGATGGATGGCTGTGTTTAGCTTGTCCAGGGTCCCTCACTGTCTTCCGCAGGCACGTGTCCAAGTGACCACCTTCTTCTACTGCACTGCGCTTTCCTTAAGCCTACATCACTCTAAAGGCCCAGTTTCTTCATCCCAGTCCCAAGTCAGAAATGGCGGCTTGCCCAGCGTGAGTCTTCCACACATTACAGGAGCAGGAGCTCTGGCAGAGCCAAGCAGAGACTGAATAGCCTAGAATTTAATTATCTATAAAATTTGGTTAAATTGTTACCTTTACACATGGGCAGTACTGTGTTGGGTATCTTTGTTCCTTAAATCAATGAAATAATGTGTTTCATGTGTTGTGTTTACACAGGTTCCCTTTGATGTTTAATTGTGCCTGAAAATCTGCAGCCATTCAGTGTGACAGGTATGCAACAACAGTGGAAACCCTAAAGGGGACATATCATTTATGGCACTTTTTGGGTCCTGTGACAGAGTATAGCTCCGCCTCCCCACCAGATCCCATAAAACCTTCACAAAATTATGCTCTTATAACCCAGAAGTATAATGCTTTCATAATTCAGGACTATCATATCGGACAATGACTTTGGACCTCTGCCAGGCTACTCATGACTTAGCTGCCCTGAGAACAAAAGCGATGAAAAATAAAGAGCCTTCTGGCACCAAGCTCAGAACAATAAGCATTATGATTCTAGTGATTTTCGGAGACTCACTGGCGGCTCTGAATATAGTGACTGAGGGAGAAGTCTGAGTGTCTGGGTTTGCGGGTGTCCTGTATCAGAACCAAGATCCCGGCCTTTAATGACCTCTAGGGCACAGCTGTCGGCAGTCTCTGCTGATTCATCCTATGAAGCCAGCAGATGAATTGGAAGACCCCCCATGGATTGGAAGAGCATGGGGGGTCATGAGGTCACTGGGAAGAGGTGTGTGGTGCTCCGATATCTTTGTAAGAGGAAGAAGGTCCAAGTCGGATCGGATGGAGCTGATGTTCAGAGATAGCGGTCCTGTGATCTGTGTGATGTGCGCAGGCAGATGATGACCTCCACACGCAATTGGGTGTGAGTATGGGTTTGTTTGTCATGAGGCAGTAGGCAGTAGGAGTTCAGTAGGACATTAGTGAGCCAGACGGAGGCACTGGGGCAAAGTCACATGGTCAACAACAATTCATTACTACTGACGTCTACAATCGAGTGCTGCTAACACAGCGAAGACAGAAGTAGACAGCATCTGAAATACGTTGACCCCCCCCCCCCATCTTTTAGCGGCTGGATCTAAAGTACTGAATTTTACCCTGTGGGGTATAAATCAGAGTAAGGGGTAGGTAGCACACAGCCACAAGCATCACAGATGTATGAGGACGCCTAAATATGAGTGGGCGTTGAATTCATTAGTTCTGTTACTAACCGTTCCGTTATTATCCTTGAGTTTGTGAGGAAACTTTTTTGAAACATGTTTGAGACATTGTAGCATTATTGCTCTATATAATGGAACAGAACTAGAGTGTCCCTCACCAAGGCCAGAGCTTCTCAGGGACAGATTCTAGATCACGCCAATACTACCCCAATCTCCAACACAGGGCCACAAGAATGATTCCTGGTCTTAGAGGAATGTCTTATGAGGAGAGGTTAGCTGAGCTGAATCTGTTCAGCCTCAAACAAAGGAGATTAAGGGGGGACATGATCCAGGTCTATAAGATTCTAACAGGTCTGGATGCTGTTCAGCCAAATGGCTACTTCAATATTAGTTGAAATACTAGAACTCGTGGCCATAGGTGGAAATTAGCGGGAGAACATTTTAAAATGAATTTGAGAAAACTCAGCGTGTAGTTGGAGTGTAGAATAGTAGAATTCTCCCCAAATGAGCTTGATGGGCCGAATGGCCTCCTCTCGTTTGTAAATTTCTTATGTTCTTATGTCCCACCTGGCTTTAGCTATAATGGGCTGACTCATTTTAAAGGAACAGGCAATTGGTCAGCTGACCTCCACCTCACAGACTCACGGTCCTTCACGCCGAGTTTGTTTTGGACATTGTTATAATTGCAAGTGCCAGTTGCAAAGTACAGGTAGGCCATCGCCATGGAAACCATACCACTCCCATCGAAAGTGAACTTTGCAATATC